ATAATATTATAAATGTCTGATTAATATTTAGACCTACAGAGTGTAAATTAATATTATAAATGTCTGATTAATATTTAGACCTACAGAGTGTAAAATAATATTATAAATGTCTGATTAATATTTAGACCTACAGAGTGTAAAATAATATTATAAATGTCTGATTAATATTTAGACCTACAGAGTGTAAAATAATATTATAAATGTGAGTATTTTTAGGTTCCTGTTAGACAAACCTGACCTTTTGGCTAAAAGAGACAAGTTTCATCCTATAACCAGGTATACAGGTATACTGTTGACTGGTAAATATTTATTATTATTATTTACGACAGTAAAAAATAATGAATATAATTTATTACTACCTGAAGTCATCATTTTTCAAAAAGCTATAAAGTCTAAGTTACAGGCTGACTTCATGTGTGGATTAGATCATTATTTATAAATTATACATTTTTCAGGTATAAATCTGCTGTTTTCCATGATTGTTGAATGAAATTAACATATTTATTAATTTATTGTAAAAACATGACAGATAATTTGAGAAACAGTGCTTGTGCTAAATGATAGACTTCAGGAGTGTGCTCGATTTAGGAAAAAAATACTGAAAAAGTTATTTCCATACTTAATTATAAAGGTGTTAAATTCATATTCTGAAAACCTTTTTAATATTTTATACATTTTGATTAATACAGATTTGCGATGTGTAGGCCTACATATATTTATTTATAATAACTTGCAAACTATTGTCTAGTGTTATAACTCATCTTATGTTTATTTAATTTTTTTCCTGGAATAAAAATCCACATCTGTTAAAAGTTGCCTTTTCTATGAGACACTGCAGGTGATGAAAGTGTAGCGAAATGCTACATGCTAATTACAAACGGTACAGATCCTGCTTCCAGGACAGATATCGGGCAGCCACAATGTCAACTGCATTAGCATGTAGCATCTTTAGCAGCTAAACTTCAAATCAATTCATTTTAAATCAAAAAAGCATAAAATAACATTTAAAATATTTAAATAACAAATACAAAATGCTGGCTACATATAAAATATGGTAGAAAAAGTATATGTTATTGTTATTTGTTGTTCAACTAACCTGGTAGAAACCATGCAGACCCTGTCCTTCACTTTGCTTCGTACGAAGGTCTGGACTCTCAGCTATAGAGAAGTGTTTCCTGCAGGAGGCGTGGCCTCTGCTGAAGTTTAAAATGATTGGATCAGTTGGCTGCGACGTATGTCACTGTGACGGAGGCTAAGCTAAGAAGCTAACCGGAAATCACGTGTGCTGTAAACAACCCTACTGAGAGGAGAGAAGTACCGAGCTGAACGAGACGACTGTAAATGAGAGCTGCTGCTTTGTCAGACGACAAATTTATTTTAATTTGGAAGCTGTAAAAGTTGCATGTATGTGATGTCATAAGGTTGCGCCACTGCCCTCTATAGTTACTTGTGGGAGAAGCATGCACGTGGACGAACGTGGAGGATGGTGTGACAGACTTTAAATTTTCTCCCAGACTCACAAGTAACGTTGCAGATTGTCCGAACTCTGTTAAAGTGTATCTTACCCCCCCACCTCCCCCGTGAAAAGATAACTCCGCCCCAAGGCGAAATTTGAAAAATGCATCAAAGTGGGTAGGGG